ATTTTAATGCATTCGTGTAATTCACTTTGTTGAGAGTGAAGATGATTGTGTGTGTGTGTGTATGTAAGCATGTGCATATCTTCAACCATGTAAGCACAACCACACTATCACACCTTAATATCTCATTGCCCTCAGATGTATATAGTGTTAAAGGGGAGAGAAAATAATCGTTTAATTAATGTACGCTATAAAACACCTTCCCTTGCTCATACACCTTCTCCCCTACCAGCCATCCTCCTGCTTTATTTTCAATCACTCCTTCTTCAGGATTATATGGTCTAACTCTTACTTCATGCCTCTTCCTTCTCTTCTTCCTCCTCTCTCTGTTCCCTCTCCCTCCCCGTTCACTTCATCTTACTCCCTGTCTCTTTCTCCCTGCTTCCACCTCTCTCCTTTTCCTCACCCTCTTATTTTTACATATTCTTCCCCGCCTCTCTCTCCTCTTTTTATCCCTTCCTCCTTCCTTCCTTCCTTCCTTCCTTCCTCTCCCCAGCAGCCTTAAGGTAAGTCCTCACTTACGGGGGCCAGGTGAATGATGACCCTCGCTTCATCCCCAGTCACAGGTATGAAGGTCGCGAGAGCCCTTTTATGTCGATGGTGCTCTCTCTCTCTCCCCATACATAAACTCATCTCTTCCTCTCCCTCAAGCACACACCATCCCCTCTCTCTATCTCTAACATTTCTTCACACACATCACCTCACACACACACACACACACTCATAAGTGACCTTTGCCCTAACGGGAATATACAAATACGTCTGTGAGTCAATACATTAACCACTTCAGTAATGCATTAGATTATTCTTTTGAAACTTTGCATCAGTAATTATTAAACAGAGTAAAGTATCTCTCTTAAAACTTAATTGTTGATGACTTGTGTACATACTTCCCAGGAATACACGCTTGAAGACCTAAGTAGTAATAGTGGTGGTGGTGGGTGGTCGTAGTAGTAGTAGTAGTATTAGTAGTAGTAGTAGTAGTAGTAGAGTAGTAGTAGTAGTAGCAGAGGAGTGTAGTAGTAGATGTAATAGTCTACTTAGTCTATTTCTTCAACAAAGTTTAGAACGAGCGAGCGACCCCTTAAGCAGTCTTTGTGAACGCTAAACAGAGAATGGACGACCCCCTGAGCGTTGTTTGTGAATGTCAGACAAGAATTAGCACGAGCGACAGCCCCACTCAGTCTCCTAGAGTCTGAATTAATAAATTTTCTCCTCTTTTGTACGCGGCAGATCCATTAGCGATGATGTTTTGCAGTTTCCAACATTTTTTCCCATTTTGTTGGTCGGTGCTCTTTCAGGCAAGTGCTTTAAAATGTGACGCCAGGTTATACACTCCACATACTAGGAGAAAGTGTTGCTGTGTTTTACGAGTGTTAATGTTACTCCTGTTACTAATGGTACCACTAATGCTGCCGCTGCTAGTATTACTCTTATTATCTGAGGACTTAGGAACGGGTTGTATTAGTCATTCTGATCCTTATATTCTACTGTGTGATGCATTATTTAATTCAACACAAAACACATCGACGGAAATTATTAATCTTACTAATCTTACATCTTTACAGTGGAGGAATATATACCGCATGATCCTTAGTGAATCACGACTACGTAATAACAGTCACGTCAATTTTGTTTTCATTTGTGTTAAGTAGTAAAACTTTAGGAATTATAAACGTAAAACACACCAGTCTGCACCCTGCTAACTTATGAGCCAGTGCTTGATGAATGACTGGACAAGATAGGCACAAGGCTGACTCGATATTAACCCAATATACACAAAAATAAACTAAATGATATCCACACTAAGCAGTGTTTAACTCTTGAGTACATTTACATTATGAGTTGATGAAGAAAAAATATTGCACATGATATTAAAATACATACATACCTTACCTTGAGATGACAAATCGGTGATAAAGTGTAACCAAATTAACAGTTATTTCAAACACTGCATCATCAAGTGTTAATACAACCTTAATAAACTACATTCTATACGAGCCTTGGTTTGCCTCAGTAACTGCCTGACGTTAACACTGCAAAGTCGCAGTACTGAGAGGAAGCAGTGTAACAAAATTCCATCCAAAACAAAAAACAAAAAAATATCCAGGACAAAACAAAAGGCTCAACAGCAACACAATCCATCACCGCTGTCGTTAATGGTCCTACACTCAACTGATTTATGGATTCATTTAAAGCAAGTGGATGATTAATTCAATTATTCCCGTCTATAATATCCATCTATTATTATTCTTTTATATTATGACTATTGCAGTTCTGGTCTCTATTAATAAGGAAAAATACTGCCCCCAAAAAGCTAACCCAACAGTAGATCTCTCCTGTAATGTGTAAATTAATGCCTATCAAAAAACCTATATACACTTTAAGTATACTGTATACATAATTTAAATCATTGGAAATATCGTAGTTTAGAAATATTTCATCTTTCTTATGTAAGTTGTTGAAGTTCAGAGACATCAACTATGCAATGACCCGAAAAGCCTAGTTGACAAGTAACCACCTACAGTATTTAGGCTGTTACTCATATACCTGACCGTTATAATAGAATTTCAACACTATATATATACATTTCTTACCTTTATTTATCCATTATATTTCACTAATGTTCCATATAAGTGTTGGCTAAAGCACTCAGTTTAATAATACTCTAGGAAGCCCAGACACACACTCCACCTGAGGCTCCTGACGACTGACACTTAATGACTTCAATAATGACGGGAACTTGTGCACCGATTCTAATTGTAATAAAGTAATAATAGTAATTATTAATAATAACAATAGTAATAATATTTTTATAGTATTAATACTATATTTTTAATAACTTTAGTACAATATTTATGATAATAATACGAATTCAGTTAAGAGGAGTTATTTTTTAAACTAATGGCGATATTATTATTATTAGTAGTATTAATATTGTTATTATTATTTTATCACTACACTGCAGAAAATGCAGAACTTATAAAATCCCAACACAGTAAAAACATTTTAAGTGTTAATTCTTTTTGATAAAATATGCACATTCTCCATGAAATACATGTACTGTAATGTTATCTCTAATGTGTAACATATTTAGAATAACAAATTAGCAAAAGTTGACAAAACAGTGCATTAGTAAGAACAGAACTGAGGGAACAATCTAACTTGATAATTACTAATTACATCTCTGTCTGTGTCATGTGTGGACGGAATAGTTTTAACATTTTTGTCCAATGTCACAGTGTGGCTGATATTATGGTGTCCAATACCAGTGTACAAAACTGACACAACAGAGTGGATTAACATTTTAATCCTATTTTACCCTTCTCATTAAATGCCTTTTGTCATATTCCTTTTGACACTGGAGGAACCAAATGACAGTGATAAGCTGTTTATTCTGCGTCCTGACATGCATGTATGTGTGTGTGTGTGTGTGTGTGTGTGTGTGTGATCATGGCTTCACAACTCTGCAGGCCAGCTGGTAACTGGTGCAATGATAAAATAATGGTACACTTTTTCGTGGAGACAAGTGCACAGCACACCCGCCCGTGTTATTTGGATTATTGCCTTATTGTACAATTTTATTATGAAAAAAAAAAGAGTACAGAATAATACATTGTATCTTGCCATAAAACACCTCTCATTCATCACCACCACCATTTTAGCGGCCACTTTTCTCACTTGTGTGGGTTAACCTTCATTGCCTAATGGCAGCTCTCCATGTTTTCTCTTGCAGCTTCTCTCATCAAGTTCTTACATGAGGTTATTTCTCACAACCTTTCCCTAAGTCATGCTTGACCTGCCCCTAACTTTCCTCCCCTCCACAGTCAATGAAACTCATGTACCTCTTGACCCAGTGGGTCTCCTCCATTCTCTCCACATGCCCAAACCATCTCAGCTGACCACTACACAAATCCTCACCAATACTTTCAGTACTCAGTAGAGTACTACCTAGTTTACCATTCTTTTTTTCGGTTCACTCAAGCCTACATGTTATTCTCTTTAACAGTCCATGTTGAGCTGCCATACAAAATTTCTCACACTCGTTGCATACATCTTACCTTTCACATTGGGAGGGAGAAGGTCCTCTTGTCATCAATACAGGCAGCAGCCCCTGATCTTCCTTCAGTCAATTCTGACTTGTTACTGAGCTTACTTCAGAACTTCTTATGTCACCCAGGTACCAGAACTCATTGAAATAGTCCAGGGAATCAGCCCTAATGTTGAGCTCCAGCCTTGCTAAAGTGATCTGATTACCTGCATATACTGTACAATGCACTTAAGTCAGCAACATTTTGCAGTCTACCATTTACAGCACCGCACTGATAAGTCAAGGGTTTGAATCCTGCTTAGCCTGGACACATGTGAGAAGAATGTCTAAGTGTGACCCTCAATACCAAACATCACAGGTTTCCTCCAGGCACAGTACAATACTTTAGTTTCCTCCTGTATTAATACTGGATAGACCAGCTGCCCAAACAGCTAGTAAGCCGATAAGTGATGAAATAAACAAATAAAAAAAAACAATACAGTATATGCATCTCACTCCTGTGTAGATACTCATAATTACATTATGTCATCCACACAGTAATACAGATCAAGTATCTTTTATCCAAAATCCTAAAAACATCAACACCTGCAGCACTACAACAGGTCAAAGCAAACACTACCAAAATCCTAAATTACAGTACTGTACAGTATTGAAGAACACCTAAGCAAAATCACGTTTATGGTAAATATCTCAATGTACAGAAGCAAGAATTGTTGGTACTGTATAAGTAAAAAATTTGTACAGTATCAGTCAGATTTGAGGTCTAGCTCTATGCCTGTATAGGCTATGCTAGGGTTTGGCTATTGTAATGCAACTACTGTAGTACAGTACACTTTGCCTAAGCATCCAAAAACTGAAAATATCTGGATTTAGGATAAAAGATACTCCCAGTACTGTCCTCTGCTTGCTTACAACACAGCTGTAATACATGATGGTTTATAATGAAATACAGTTTGTCATGTAACGTTTTATTTACCAGTATCTTTAACCAGTCAAAAGTTTATTACTGTATGTGTTAACCATAACAGTGCAGGACAAACTGAGCCTCAACATAATTACTAGGTAGTACAGTACTAGTGGTCACTGAAAGGGGATATTGTGTTAATGAAACTTAATGGCTGAAATAATTACGGTGACAAATTATGCTATTGGGGGCAGTGACTAAGGTTATTTTAAGAGAGAATTTCTAAGGTGGTTAGGAATGAGTAAAAATATATGATGACAATTTTCAAAGAGGTTCAGGAATATCAAAGCTTCATAACTGATGGTTTAAGATTAGGTAAACAGAAGGCTAATTGGCTGAGGACAAGTCCACAAAGATGTCACGACAGGAGAGGGAGCTGTCAAGGCCAGTAAGGGAGCAAGTATCCAAGTTACTGGGGACATCATCCACATAAATAATGAAATGCAACAGTGTGCAGATGGGAATGAGTAACCCACCATAATAAGTTCTGTATATCAACATGGTAATGATATATTATTTGATTGTGCTTTGCAACTGCAGGCAGGTCTTACACTACAACTGTGCATATCAACAGTACAATTTATGCTTACTGTATTTCACTTGTGATGACCTGCTATGCATCCAATCTCCCATCTCCTTTGTTCAGCTGATGTAACAACCATCAAATTGGAGTATTAGCACTACAGTACTTTAAAGAATATGTATCTTGGGAGTTGACTCTGGAGTCTTCATACTTGTTTTTTGGCACAATGACCGACTTGTGATCATTTGAGGAACATTCTCAACTGTTAAGTAGTAATCTGCGATGCCGTAAAAATTAAGCGTGATTTTGTAATGTTATAAAATACCATAATCAAAACCGCATCACTAAAATTATCACAAATACAGCAAAAACAGTTTAGAAAATCTATTGGCTGGGAATATATGAAATTACCACAGAATTAAAACATCGGAGAATAACAATGGTGATACTACAGTTTGTAAGGAAAATAATCTCAGTATTCACAATTCCTACTTGGGTATTTAAAAGCTTCACTACTGTACTCCCAACATAATACCCTTTTAAGGTCTTAAAGATAACCAACGCGGAGGTCTCAGGCTGGACGGCTGGCTGGCTCTTCCTCGCACACAAAACAAGCGTATCAACTTATACGACGGTTCACTAACCAGGTTTTTTTTCAACTACCACCACATAGCCATTCCTGCCCTTACATTACCAAGTACATACAAGCTCAGCGGTTTGCATTTTTATGACCAGCATTAGAATTTGAGTGTCTCATGATATACTGTTTTTGAAACATGAGTTATAAATAACCTTCCTTGATATAAATACTGTACATTAATTATACAGTATTTCAGTTTAGAGATGTATCCCAATTATATACAACATGTGGCAGAGCTCAATAATATTTTGCCAACATTGTTGTTTATTGATAACGAGTGATCTTAATGCTGTTCTTGGTAATGTCTTTGCTGATAATAGCCATTAACTGAATTTCTTTGCAATAATAAAGTGATGGAAGACAAAGAAATCTGCACAGTTACAACATTGGCATAAAACTTACTATCTTGGATGATATGCCAAAAGGTGACGCAGCTGGAGTGTGTTAATACTCGGCACCGTAAGTACTTAAACCTAGTGTAAAGCCTCACATGTTATCTTTAATGCCAAATGTCAATAGATCTTTGAAAGCATAGCCTCTATAGTCTGCAAAATGCAAAAGAGAAGAGATGAAAAATAGTAATAAATGACAGAGAGAAGAAGATGATCCTAATTATCAACATATAAAGCAATCTTAATTCTGCTGTCACATCAAATTATCTCTTTCAAGTACAAAACAAATATTAACTTTTGTACATAACCATATCATGATGATGGTATACTGTATTTACCGGTGAATATTTGAAGTTATAAAACGACTTTCATTTGTAAAAGTAAATTGTACTTTTAAATCTGATTGTAATGATCACTTTATAGTGCGAGGGAGGACCTCAAATATTACGTTGTGTCCAGCATGACAGTCGCCGGCATCATGAAGCATCGATGCCTCCACAAGTTAACACTATAAACTTATACTTTACACAATCATAAAGGCTCAATCAATAAAATTATAATCAAAATTTTTTCATGAAATGATAAAAAGTGCAGCTTACCAATTCCACAGTTTGAAATACTACTCCATGAAACAATATTTCAAAGCTCACAGCCAAATTATTTCATCTATTAACAAAAGCAAATTGTTATTCTTGCATAATTAACAAATATATACAAACATTCAAACATTTTCTTTGAATTTTGCTCTCGTCTCTTAGAACCCATCCCACGCAAAAATAAAATAATAAAATAAACTTAATATTACAATATGGTAACCATGGTGACCAATAACCTATGCTTTATACACAAATGATAAGACCTTTTACACATCAGAAATTAACTACAGTAAATGTTTAGCAAAGCAGATGAAAATAATCATGACTGTTCTTGCCATTGTCTATGTTTGTATTCTGGAATAAAGTCAAAATTATCATACTGTACTGAACTATGATCAGTTATTATCAATCAATTGGTTGAACAAATATGTTATAATTTTGTGATCCTGGTAATAAGACTGGATCTGCAATATACTGTATTGATAAGTTTGTCTGGACATCTAGGAAAGAGAGCACCAGAATACAGAGCATGTTGACAAGTAACTTACATGTAGTACTGTACTGTACTGTACACAGCAAGAGTGACTTGTGTGTACTGCAACTCTGTAGTTATATTTTTCATTATTCCTTAATGTTGTTTAAGTACTTGCTAATGTTGTAAATTAATACTTCATTAAAATATTAGCACTGATGATTGTTTTATGGAAAATACTTGAGACAAACATTTGTCTGATGATCACTTTTTTCACTTTTGACAACAATTTCTCCTTAACATTTTTCCGTTAATACGAACATACACACATTCTAAACGTCAACTGTGAGAGGCCAACAGAATGGTGTGTGATTATTAGACGAAAGGCTATGAGGGGTGATGCCTCAGGGAAAATGTTGACACTTATGTACAGTACTGTATCTTATCAGGCAAAAGGCTGGTGAAATGTTATAAACTGAATAACAAAGTCTGCTCTGCAACAATGAACAAATTATAACAATACAATACTCTCTAATTTTAAAGCTGTCTCAAACTTGGGGAATCTTTGTCACAAAATGTGTTGTGATACCAGTTACTTCATTCATGATATGTCACCTTTTTGTTTTAAGACTAATGTCAGGAATATAATTGTTTTCCCTATTTTGAAAACAGTGAAAAATTCATTCACTCTCATCAATTGATACTTATAGGCAGTTACTATTTCACAGCTGGAACTAAAACAACCAGTGGTAATCTCTTCAGTGTGAAAATATGTCCAAAAATGGATATGGTGTACAGCTTTATTACTACAGTGAGTGTCCAGACTGTGTGTGAGGTACTCTAGTCATATTACAGCTCTAAATATATTTCTAAAGTGTAAGTTCTTGAGGGAAATATATATAGCAAATTAAAATAAAAACACACGACTCAAATTCACCTTCGAGACTGAATTATTACTGTACTGTTAGGGTGGGTGGGGGAGGGGGGGGGAGGTGATTCACATGATGCATAAATTACTTCATCATCTACACCATCTAACATATCTTGTACTGTGATTTGATTTGATTTTTATATACTTTACTACAGTACTGCTTCAGAACATGTGTTGCATGGGTGACATTCACACTGAAAATGAAACGGCCTTTGGCAACAGGGTCTACCAAAATTAAATTCACGGTATAATCTTAAATCTTGCTTACATTATTTATCAAATTCAACTCTGAATATTGTATCTAATAATACAAGTAGTAAAATATTTCCAATAATCACAACAATACTTTTTTCCCTTTATCATTGTTGTTGTGTCGATACTTACCGGTATATCCTTACAAATATTTGGGCCAATACTACATTCTTTCCTAATTACCAACACAATAGTATTCATTTCCAATCACCAAGGTCAACAATTTTCCCTGCCAATCATCAGGTCAATACTTTTTTTTTCCTTGCCAATCATCAGGTCAATACTTTTTCCCTGCCAATGATCAGGTCAATACTTTTTTCCTTGTCAATCATCAGGTCAATACTTTTTCCCTGCCAATCATCAGGTCAATACTTTTTTTCCCTGCCAATCATCAGGTCAATACTTTTTCCCTGTCAATCATCAGGCTTCACAGGTCAGTCTCTAATGTAAACCTGATAGTTTAACTTAATGATTACCATACTGTTAAAATTAGTAACCTAGGTAGTATCTATATACAACATCAGCATCATACTGCTTGCTGCCTGAGTCACTAAGGTAAATCCAATCAAGTTTAATAATTTAAAGTGAATCAAATATATTCTAGGTATTTACAGGTACTAACATGGGCCCCCTCAATTAACTGGTAGTAAGTTAAGTAACGAGTGAGGATATTTGCAGACCACGACCTCGGAGTTCAAGAAGTTAACTGTATTGTTTGTTTTTATTTAACAACAACCCAATGTATATCTTGCTAATGCCACCAATCAAACATAAAATAATACCACACTAATCAAGGAGTAACTTGGTGTAGTTATCGTAGGTGTATAATCTTTAATGTTACAAATTTCATCGGGAGATATTCCTCCAAATCACAGACTTAAACGGCTCAAAATTAAAAAAGTTCGGTTCCAATTACCATACAATGCTACAAGAGAACTCCTCGACTCCACAGTTCCGCAGGCGACTAGCGTGTGGGGACCCTTGCTACTGTACAGAGAAAAATCTACATTTGTGTGCCGACATCAGAACCAAAGAGCCACTAAAACTGGATTCTCTGTTCTTTTGAAACTAATATATTAAGACATTGAGTGCAGCACTTTATAAGTCATATTTAGGAACAAAAATTCCATCACATTGAAGTCATTTGGGTGGTGTATTTTGTACAAAAGCATTATCACCAACACGTGAACTGGCCACTACAATTCACTTCCTGGTGCGGTGGGCTGAGCTGCCATTCACTTCTCTAACTTTTGTAGCACAGTTTGATATATTTTCTGAGGTTTTAATTCTTGTCCACCCTTTCATAAATAATCTCAATATTTCAGTTATTGAAAAGAATGTTACATCTGCCCAAACACTTTTCACTAGATTTTCACTCCTCAAAATAATATACAGCTGAAATTCCTTGGCTAGAATATCTCATGATACCTGAAGAAGTCGTGTAAACGAGGAGTGAGTTGAAGAGAGGGAGGAGGAAGAGGAGTGAATTGAATCCCCTTCACGGACGCACTGTCGCAAGTTTCCAAAGTCCGGACAGGATTCAAATGCTGAGGCAGACGGTGGCTGGCGGGCATCTAGAGCTCCACAGGAATAGCGATTAAAAAACTTTTCCCGCGATGCTTGCGGACGTGACCCACGAAGACGTACCAGCTGTAAATCTGGCACTAAGGCTGAAACTGTTTCATTACCTTCACAACTTCCATTTGGTCTGGGTAGACCAGGACAGGACCGTGCACGATAGAGACCCTCTTCTCCTGAAAACGGAGGCTCACTGCGAGCACGACTTGCAATAAGAGTTCCCGGTGCTGGCTCAGGATACTTGTGAGCTTGTGAAGGACTTGGTTTCATGTTTCTCATGGTCTTGACATTTGAAGGCTCATCATTTTCTAATGTGGTAACAATGATGTGAGTAGTATGGACATTGGGGCCTTTTCCACTGCTACTGCTTCTACCACTAGTACTACTATTCCCACTGCTGCTTGGACTACTGATGCTGCTTGCATTATCAGATGCACTATCACTCCTGCCCAGGAGACGTATACGGGACGACATTGCAGCTGTTCGCTTGCGCAATTCTCCCATCTCCGAGTCCAGCAGCTGCTCCACACCGCGCAGGAGTTCCTGAGCCATCCGAACACCTGTGATACAAAGAAGATGAACATATGATTCTTACAGCTCTATAACTTTTGAAGGTGACAAATTAAAAAATAATATAAAAATTTACAATGATTGATAGAGAGATCCAAATACTGTAAACCATTGGAGAGAGAGAGTTGTATATTATGGAAATAAATATTACCCAGTACAGTATATACAATAGAAATTGAGGATTTATCCAGAAATTTCATTTATAACTGAGCCCGGACCATTCCCTGGTACAGTATATCAACATTATTGTCTCCTCTGATAGATTTTCTCCATTAATTTTCATTCAAATCTAACATTAAGTTCTCCCTGTTTCCCTTCACTACTTGTCTTCCCTCATTTTTCTTCTGTTCAAATTCAGCGTCAGCTTTCTCCTGATATACACATTCTCCCAAAATAATTCCATAACATTTGTAAATCTTCCTCTGAATCACCACTAGTAGAATGTTTTATGCATACAGCCAATGACACATTACTCTTACCACTCTATTCTATCTGTGAAAATATTAAATATCCACAGTAAGAACACACATCTCTGACATATTCCTGCTTTCTCTGCAAACCAGTTTTCCTTCTCCCAGTAAACTCTTAACATAAGCTGTTCTCTACTTATAAATACACGGGGCCAGAACTTGACAACTTCAGCTTTACCCCGAGCATTTTCAGTATTTTCTACATTGCTGTTCTCTCTAGTCTGTGAACATGTGACAATGACTTTCATGTAATCCATAATCTGATTTTCTGAATATGTATCAATGAACAAAGTCTCTGCTTATGGTCTCTGGATGTAAAAAAGAAAAAATCTCATCTAATTTTAACGCAGTTTCTATCAGCTCAGGATTATAACAGAGATGCAAAATAGTAAGCTTGATTTTCATTCAAAAGTAGTTTCTCTGCTGAATGACTGATATAGAAAAACTATAAAATATTATGAGTTTTCATCATCCTACAGTGAAGATACGCACCACAATTATCTAACAAATCATATATCTTCCTCTCTATAATATATTCATTACAATAATACTTCAAATAGATAAAAAAAAATTGCTGCACCAACAGAAACAAAACATTTAATACAAACACCACACCATTTATTCCCTTGCAGTGTGCTGTGCAGGATGCAGTGTGCTGTGCTACCTTAAATGCTGCACTCTTGTGAAGTCACTTGAAACCAAAATGCAGATAATAAACAAATGACTAATCTATCTGCTGTGCTCTGTGAAATGTGAGGTTACTTAAAACCAAGATGCAGACCTTCAGAATTATCTATTGTAAATTGTGCTAGTGATCATCTTCCAGTATTTTCACATGGTAAGTCTCCTCAAACTAAGGCAGCCCACAGGAGGCAGATGACATAAATACGGTAAGTCGTCTCAATTTTAATGTCTGAAATTCTTTACTAAAGGTACTTAACTTTTTAACTTTATCTAATGTTAATTCATCTATTCTTCCCCAGTCACTTTATTAAGGCCACTTTTTGGAACATCATCATAAAGAACAATTCTACAAATATAAACTACTAATGTATCAGTTGTCTACATTAATATTCCAGAGTTATAATTTTGGAATACAATTATTCAAAGAACTCAACAAGATTTCAACTGACATCGGAGACATTTCAAGACCTATGTACTGTACATTGATTTAGTAATGAGGACCCAGTTACAGTATCTTGTGGCCAGTCATCAGCCATGAGCTTTGTCACTCACTCAATGTTACCGTATCCAAAATATACATGTGAATTTAAGGAATTAAATTATGGTAATTAAAAAAGTCATACTCATTTGTAGTACAGTACTGTAGACGATTTACTTAGGCCTACAGTATGTAAAATTAAATACAGTACGTATATAAAATATTTTTTCATATACAGTAACTACTTACTAAGTTTATAGTTTAGAGGGAATATTACAATAATTCAGGCAAAAGGAAATAATCATTTAAGTAACTTTTAAAGTGACACAAATATTATCGCTGCTGTGTTACATTAACTATTCTTCAACTCCATAAACACGTCTAATCCTGTCAACATACCTCAAGTCTTTACTGTAAAACTGATTGGTAGTAAATTATCCTGTACTGTACACAATGACTCTTCCTGTTAACGTGTTATCTTGTATTCAACATTTTACATTTGTAATATTTTAATATCTCCTAGGTATTTTATCCCCATAATATGCCTTTGACAAGTATTCTAAGGAATCAGCATTAAAATCTATGTAGTTTCTTAAACTAATTTAAAAGATAAGGTGAAATATCTCCCTTCTCAATGACAGGTTATAAAATGACCCCCTTCAGAAACCCTTGATCCACCACTACTGTACATTAGTTCTACCTACAGCTGCATAACAGTTACAGGGCGAAGGCAGGGGTTAGTCTTAAAGATGAAAAAATGGAAATAAAAAGTGGAGGAATAGATCTTCTATGGGTTACTCAACTAAATAGTGCTGAAGAAGTACAGGTATTAGTGGATTAATTATATTCATAAAAAACTACAAAAGCCAAAGTTCAGTTTAAAGAAGAAAAAAAAACTACTTGCCAATTTGGTTTGGGGTGAAGGAGTTACCGGGTACCTCATTATTTGTGGTGAGAAATATAATGAAATATCAATAAATTTCATGGTCAATAAGATAGCGAGGGTCAGTACAGCAGCCTAAAGTAATGGTTATACAGTACTGTGTTACTCTCTTAAATGGGTGACTGACATTATACTTTACACACATCAGAATAACAAACGTTACACTGGAACCAACTACAGGAGGAAAATAATTATGTTGCCCTTTGGACAATTATGTAGTAAACGTAATTATAATTTAGATGCATGATGTACTGATTTAATAAACCATCCCAGGCCTACAGAAAAGTTCAGGTTTCATGTCTTTTGTAATCAGAATTCAAATTCATAGTCATTGATAATAAGAATTTAGGCAAATTGATTTTCAACAGAGAGAATTTTGTTTGAATGAGTGAAAAATCATAAAAATTATATCAATGGGTCATGGACAAACAAAGTTACTTGATACTGTAATTAAGTCCCCAGATTGTGGTTAACTAGATAAAGTACAGAAGGAAGAAAAAGAAAATGTGGTTAACTATATTGCCTTGGTTGACAACTTTCATTAACTGGGTCCTCAGTTACTATCATGTTGGGTAACTATATCAGATAACCAACTCTCATGTTAAACTGTCCTGCATAACCAATTGGCATCTGGTTAACCAAGTGCTGAGCTGTATAAGTTGTGATGCACAGACCAAACCAAGAGTGGTGGAGGCAAGTCCCAGCTGCAGTGTTGCCCAGTACCTGTGCCAAATTCTACGTGTCTTTGCCCGTGCAAGGTAGACTCACATCCCCAGTAATTCACTCAAAAGTCTACGTCAATATATACAAAGCATTATAAAACTTTAATAGAAAATGGGATTTAAGTAAGAGTAGATGGAAGTGCTACAAGATGAAGGGTCCTTTAAAGATTACTTTGATATAAAGCCTGATGCTTTTTACAGAAGTGTGTGTGATCATATTGGCAAAATTTTAAAGCAAAAGGTTATTAATATCTACATTGATTCACAGACACTGAGATAACTACAGCGGACAGTACAAGTTAAAGAGGAGGACCAGGAATATATATCACGGTAAACTTCATTAACTTCAAGTGAATCTACCTTACAAAAGCTTGAGCCATTAGCAAGACCAACTGGCCTACCTGAGTGTTCGGGGCTGGTCCCTTTTCCCACGCTCCAGGGACATAAGGCCTAGTCCCAGCACCAACAGGAAGAAGACTTGGGGGTTATGATGACTCAACACATATCTATACTATACTGTACACAGATCCAGGACCAGGACTGGAGGCCATCCAATGATGCCTTTAACAACTAGTGTGGCTGTATTTCTGATGCATTAAGGTACAGTACTATACTGTAATGCAGTTTAGGGATTTTACTACTGTGTTAGTGGAGCCAAAAATGACTTTTGCTATTTGAAACATCTTCATAGTAATGCAGTGATCCAATGCAAAGATGTGATTTGATAGTTTTCAAGTCACAACTGGTTAACAAATTAATTTGTACCTTTGAATAAAAGGTCAGTTCCACACTTGCATGGGACCAAGATGATTAAGTAAGTACAGTATACTGTACAGTATTCATCTTCACATGAATAACTTTAAAATGCCCCACAATACCTGGTTCTGGATCTGTTAATTATTGTCTACTGTATCTATATATTAAGTCGTTATTTTGATGTATGAGTAAATTATACAATGACAAAATTAGACATGGAAGAATTAGGCAGCTTTTTCTAATGATTAGTTTCATGTGTGAGAAATGCAGAAAATATTATTATTACTGACAAACTTACCAAACATTATATATTGTGGAGACAGTTGGTATTACATGTTTTTTTTTCAAATATAAGAAAAAAATCCCTATGTGTGACTCCAAATTACATACAGTAAATATAACTTTAAAAGTTTAAAAGTCACTAGGGTTCTTAAAAAGTCTAGAAATAATTTCTTATACTGTACTTTTAAAATTCTTACTACAGATGTAAAATGACTCAAGTCATCTCTAAAGACTATGAACCAATGTCTTAACAGCTTGTAATGAATCACTGAAATAGTAATGACAAACAAAACCATATTGTGACAAACATGAACCACTATATTAAAATACTTCAACATGTTAGTCATAATCTTTGTTTTGAAGCATGAACCATCAGGTCAAACTTCTTCCATTCTCAATGACTCACCTGAGCCAATGCTGATGGACTGTCTTGGTGGTGTCCACTGGTGGGTATCTGCCTCACAACTCCTCCTCTTCTCCTCATTTTCTTCTGTACTGCTACCGCGACTTTTTCTCTTCTCCGGAGTCATACGTTTTTCTGGGGATGTTCTGGTCTCCCCAGTTGGGGTATGAGTTGGAATATGGGTAACTGTGATTGTGGTTTTTGGGGTATCGTGAGTGGGTGGACCAACTATGTTGCCAATTTGGAGTCGAAGATCTCTTGGACGTTCTTTGGGGCAGGGCACAGCTGTTGAGGGACCACAGATAATTAACTTTTTTAACTTATTTTTTTCTTGGTGAAATAGTAACACATATGAATTGCTAAAGATGAACAATGATTCTGCATGTACAGTAATATATGCACAGTACAGTACTGTATTTCCAAAAGTTCTATCACTTAACATTCCAGAAACATAAAAAAGTTGCAACAATGTATGAATTTGTCTACAGTATATATATATATATATATATATACATACACTGTACCGGTATATATATCTTACCAAAAAAAAATTACAAATGTGTTCCAAAATTGCTCCTGAATAGAAGGATCAACACCCAGTGACAGTAAATAATCTATATTTTCAGAGACTGACGTGATAGATGTGTTTAGCATTATTGCTGAACTAATTCTATGCAGAGATGAAGCTTTACTTCTACCTAAAGTACTGTATCAAATCTCAACTATTATGTTAATACCAATACAGCCACTCTAGGTAAACTTCCATCTGCACTATGTACAGTACAACCATAAGGCACATAAATACAATACAAATTCATAGTACCAACACTTGTGCCACATCTGTTCTACGAAACAAAAGAATCCATGTCCCCTACTGCTAGCTAAACAAAGTACTGTGAAAAAAAGAGAGAAATAGTCTGAAGGTAACTGTTACATAACCCCAGGACTCTACTGAAGAACATGACAGGTACTGTACTGTACTGTACTGCATGTGTAGATGTACTGACTGCAACAGTTTCATCTTGATACTGTACTGTATATGGACAGGAGCCATCCATACACACCATTTGTATCAGGTGGCAAGAAAATCTACTGAAAACTGGTGCATGAGTTAATTTTACAGACTTACAATCACTACATTGACAGAAACATGATTACAGTACATACAGACAGACCAACAGACAGATGACCACAACCACCAATTATTAAACTGTCTCACTATCTACACATCACCTATCCTTAATTACTGTACAGTCTCACCCAAAAGTTTGTTAACTCTCCCAGCCAACTATTGCTGCACTGCCTGCTTCAGATGTATGAACTTGAGTCTGTTACCTCGAACCTTTAGATTCATTCGTATTGGTTTCATGTTCTGGTTGGTACTGAGACAGTTTCAAACATCTGAAGCAGGCAGTGCAGCAATAGCTGGCTGGGAGAGTTAACAAACTTTTGGGTGAGACTGTACCATCACAACTAATAATATGAACTTTATTTGAACACTGGTGGATGAAGAACTTCTATAAGTGCAGATTGACTTATGGATGATTGGATTCCCCAGAATAGATTGGTACCATCATGCCTCTTTACTAAATAAATATTTGACTGGTGTTTTATGTCATAAAAAACACTACTGTACTGTGTTCCATGAGCTGTAAATAGAGGAATATCATATTTCTAAGACCTATTTGTAAAATATAAATATTAATAAATACATTTAATATAAATCAGTATCTCAAAGTAATGTACATTGATTGAAGTCATCTTATGTGTAACATACATGAGGAAATATTTAATAAATCATGCAATTCTTTAGACATTATGGTAGAGAAATATATCAAAATTCTATGCAGTAAAGGTATACAACTTTACAAGCAATGATGTACAGTAATGGTTAAAGATACACAGAGTTACATACAGACCTTAACGGTTAATGATGTACAGTATTACATAAAGACTGTACAGTAATGGTTATTTACTCTCCTAGAGCTACGCTGTAACACACACTAAACAATTCTTTTTAAACGAGAATATCAAAGCTGCAGGCAGTCATAAAGCTCTGATTAATATCACAAATAAAGGTGGACGGAACAGTTGGTGATATAAGCGTTCATCAATGGGAGGAGGGAGCCATGGACTTAGCTTCTGACTACCAATTTAAACAACCAATTAAAAGAAAAGTCATCTTTGGAAAAAATTTGATTTGTGCATTGTGAATCAGTAGTTGAATTAGCTGATGGTTATGAACTTTAGTAGCCATGTTAGTTAACTGCTTTATTAATTCAGCAAGATCCATTGAAAAGATTTACATGAGAATTTTGATTCATTCCGTATTAATTCAAGTTTCAAAAGAATGTAGATATATGAGCCTCATTACTGTTCCCGGTGTGTGTATTATCTTAATGACTCGTGTACACTGATCACTGCAGTATCACTCAGGACACTATTGAATGTTAACAATGTTGCTTCACAAGAAATTCATGGTGATGTTAGTAAAGAACAGAATGTACAGTATTATTGACTGACATCACTGATGTCAAAGTTAGAGATTTAGTGGGTAAAACATGTTCCTAGAGCACTACTGTCCTATCATCATGCTATATACACTGTGCTGTACTGTATTCTATTTTAAGAACTAGGAGTAAATTTATTCTGTAAATGCTTATGGTTATAAGTACGGTGTACTACATTAGGAAAGAATATAACTACGTAACGTGTCTTGAGAACAGAACATGTGGACTGATGAGTATCGTGCGAGCACATCGAGGAAGCACTGTACCACCAATGAACGTTACCACCGTCACTCCTCCATACATCTTTGGTAAAGCAGCGTTATCTAACTTTACTCACATAAAAACAGATTAATATACTTGTTAGCTTTATCAAGAATTTCAAATCATGACGATAATTACTACGGCCCACTCCAGTAGTGCCCGTGCTGACTCCGACACAAAAAGGCCGGTGGTAAGGAAAGAACCACAGTGAGCATGGGCAGGGCTCGGCCTCTCAGCTAAGCAACACGCAACCAGCCAGCAGCATCCTTGCCCATGCAACTTTTGCAGGTCAGTGAGCAACAACCACCCAACATCTAATGTAAACCGTAGTAGGGAAACACTGTGCTCTCTGAATCCTTCCATGATCTCACTAACTCCAGTGTCCCCTTTCTCATTCCTCTACATGGGGAAAATAATTTGTTTATCAAAGAAATTATAAAAAAATAAATAAAAAATTCATATGAATCAAAATACAAATAAACACTACAAAGAACGAGAGGCGGGGGACATGTTGGTGGGTTGTTATGAAGCATTAGTGTAAATATGGCTTTAATAGTTCAGTTTTTTCGCCCACAATAAATAACCTCTTAAATATAACAACAATGAGTTCTCCAGCACCACCAACATAGAACAGTATAAGAGAATCATAACCAGAAGCCTTAATATTGCACTGTTAAAGTATGATTCCTTTTCTTGTCATAAATTAAAATGGATCTCATTAGATGTTATGAAGACAATTCGTGGTCATTAAGCTGGCCACAATGTTTATTTCAAAAAGCAGCCGGAGTATTTAATGCAAGACCACTCAGCGATGCTTCAAGTTACACATCCAACTTTTTATTGTAGCCAGAGGTGTAAAGTAATGAGGTAAATTTACTTGAGTGCTGTACTGTGCTCAAGTAACATTTTTGGTTATTTACTTTTTAAAAGGTATTAAAAGTTTTCAGTACCTTTACCTAAGTATGGTATTCTAATACTTTTACTCCAGTAAAATTGAAAAAATAAAATAAATAAATAAATAAAATTCGTTACTCGTTACATGTCCCAAACAATAGAGTTTTAAATACCCAATCACAGGGCACAGGACAAACTTGGAAGCGAACCAATGACAACCGTTTCTTTATGTCAGCTGTTTATAAGCACCTGTTTAGTTATGCTAGGCTTATATTTAGGCCTAAAAGATTCCAGCTATTCAACCATAATTTTGAGAATCGGTTATTGATTAATCTCAATAGAAATATTTGCAAATACAGTAAACATATGTAATGCTGTCTCTTATTTTTATTGACATGTTAATTAAGGATCTGTGGTCAAAATTTTGATAATTGTCTTCATTTGTAGGAATGACAAAGAATACCTGTAATATTAAAAGCTTTTCAGAAAACAAATACTGTACTTTTGTGTAATGCAAATTAATATTGACAATAAAAGGTAGTTAAAGACAAAGCCATATTTACTTAATTGTTTCTTTATCAAATAATTTTTTTTTTACATTTTTACGTAGTGAGATCTGGAGCTTTTTAGAGCCTGAGAGACAGACATCCCTGCTAGCCGGCTGATCAAAGAATTCAATACCAGATATAGTCATTCATTCAGGGTCACAAGAAGTTGAAGCGGTGATGGGGTCCAATTGAAGGTCTACGGACCCCTAACCTCAATCCAGACCCACTTAATCGTCCTGAAAGCACCACTGACATCACCAGCATGGCCTAAAACTGGTCTCTAAACTGGTCTCTTTGCACAGCTTTTGCATATACTGTACCGTATCTTAATCAGTAATTTGTTAAGAGTCTGTTCAATAGAAATATAGTTTACAATAATATGCTTTACACATACTGAATAAAATAATTTATTTCAAAATAAAAACATTACTTGCTAAAAAGTCTACATACAGAACATCACCATAATACAGTTTACTTTATTTTGGCATATAAAAGTTAATACCCGGTATATACATCCTAACATGGGAATTTCTTCAACTGCTTCAATAAAGAAAATCACATACAGTAGTATACATTATATGGCTCACCTTGACTACAGTACAGTACTCACAAGTGGGCTACCATCCACTCTATACCATGAGAGCTAACTATACAGTATTTATCAAGCATCTCTTTAAATGTAATTAAGTTTACAAGTTTTACAAGACTGTTTGAGCCTTTTTCTTCTCTTTCTCTATTACACTGGCTGCTAACTTTTCATCTGTTTGCCCTATGATTTGCACAGTACAGTACTGTGCTGTATAGACCTTAATGAAGGAGTTATAAATAACTAATATAAAGAGCCATAAAATAATGATGATGATCAACATCATCAAATATTTTAGTTGTGAGTCAGACAGTCCATCTGTTCTGTTACAACCTTCATTGTTCCGGGTCAGTACACGATGAAACAAAAGTTCATAGAAAAAAACTTTAATGTTTGGTGAGTCACACTGTATAACACCCTTTTCATCAATGACCTGTGATTGAACCCACAATGCAATAGTGAGAGACAAGCACTCCTTAGTCTTTGACACATGATATACAGCCACAATGGCTCAAGTAAGGTACACACAAACACACACACATTAATATTTCCTCCCAGTGCATTTTATCAATAAAAACCTAAAAATAATTTTTTAAATACTGTAATGATTTTTAATACAAACCCACCAGATATTTATACTGTACTGTACAGTATATCTAAATATAAATCTATGGCATATTTAGGTAGGTTATTGCTCCTTGGGAGGAGGAGGATGTGTGAGTGGCAGGTTGTGGGGGGCTTGGTGTGTGCTAAATTTAAAATGGCAGCCATGTGACAACACACACCAACTCATGTGTAGGTGGGCTTGCGTTCATGATGAGAAGATTAGCGTTATAAATAATTTCACAAATATAGGCAGGTTAATGTTGGTCGGACTTGCACCTGGTGAGGTATAACTGAACTGAAAGGCAGGAAGTGTCACACGACATGACTTCTCACGTTCAACCATATAAGACCAAATCTTTCTCCCACATAATGAAATACTATACACAGATTCAAAAGGCAATACCTGTGATGGAAAACATGTTGAGAGTAAACTGTTGTATGAAAGGCCTTGACCAACAGGTAAAAAGTTAAGGGTAAATACAGTACAGTACTACAGTATATGAAATGATTGGAGTACTTGTCTCAACTCTTCTGTCTGGATGTAAATCATGGCCCGGACACACCGTACTCAAGACACAGAGCAACAAAAATAAATCACCATTAGGACACATCGGTACACGACGGAGGTATAAACAGAACACGTAATTCAATATTATTTTTCCATAAATTATCACAACATAATTTGATTATTTTTTACACAATCAACCTATAAACACAAAATGAGAAAATATGAACTATTTCTATAGTTGTTCTCAATATCCATAACCAGAAATACTGTCTACTTAATTCATGCTGTTTTAATTGTCCTAAGCAACCCCACATGCAGTATGTGTCTAACATGTGGTATAATTATCATAAGATAATTTCCAACAGTTTCTCATGATTATACTGAACTAAAGAGTAACTTAACACACATGTCATGACACAAATTTACCAGTTCTGAACTGTACTACTTGAATTCGTTTTTTAGAAATCTGAGACACATATTTGGAATTTAGCCAACATTAACCCTTAAGAGTCCAAGCCTCAGTCTGTATATAAAAAATCCATTTGGCTGATACTTAACATTGACTATGAACCCAGAGGATCATATTTCAGTGCAGTGGATAATCAGTTTTCTTAAGTTTGATATAACTGTATTCCTTCTTTAATGACAGTCGTAACTGACTCATGCTCATTAAATTGTGACCAAAACCCAAACAGTACAAATCTTTACATCTCCATCAACATTTCTTTCCCCAAGATAAATGTATTTAAGAAAGATATGACTGCAGGGGATTAATGATGACCTTTTCAAAGCTCTGAATATGATAAGAAAAGCAAAATGCATTCTGAACATAGACCTGGTGTTGTATATACTGTCCTAAACTTCTAGACCATCAAATGTCTTGTGTAACCCATTCCAACATGCTCATTCTCTTTCCTGTAAAATTTACAGAACATTAATAAAGGCTAGCTGTCTGTCTGAGCCAAAATAATCATGCACTCAAACCCAGAAGAAAAAAAATGCACTGTATACCTTTATATGCTTGGCCTAACCAATGCAATACACTAGCCCTCTAAATAAGAACACTACCCATTGCCTAAAGCCTTCCTATCTTCTACTTTTTTGGATAACTTTCAGAAAAATTAATTTACCTTTACCATCAGGGTCAGATGAATGTCATAAAAGACTTATCATGCCTGCAAACAACAATGACCATCAATGAATAGTGGAGCTGAGTTTTCACTGGGAGGAAGAGGGGAGGGGAGGGGAGGGGAGGAGATAGTGATAAAAACAATTTGGGGAAATGGATTTCTTTTAAAGGGAGAGAAAGTGCAAACACAAGAGGAAATAAAATATTATAATAATTACAGTATACAGTACTGAAATGGAGTCACTTTAGTCAAAGGGAGAAAGGAAAATCTTTATAAGATTTTAAGATATTAGGCATTCTCATTTGTTAAGTGGTATTAGGAGTACTGTAAATAGTTTTATGAAACCCTAATGCAAAATATTTTGTTTTATAACAGCAAGAATTAATAGTACTGTACTGTACTGAATGACTATTATACTTTCTAATTTTCTTCAAAACTACTTGACAAAGATAAAAATTTATACAATATAACAAAAAATAAATAAAAACTATGTACAGTATTGACTATGATATCTGACTACAGCATATTTATTCGGCGGCTGTTAGATCAAATGACAAATTTACGATACTTATCTAAAATGAAGTTTACAATACTGTCCTTATGAACACCAGAGAGAAAAATTAAAAGAGAAAATTAAGAAAAAATAGAGGCCATATTTTACAATGATGACTGATAATTTTCCTACAGCATAGTGTCAGATGGAGAGAAAAGATCTTATGTTTGAAAGACTAATAATAAAAAATCAAAATGAAGTTTCTTAGCTACAATTCTGTTATTTTCTTCAGGAACCAACACAATGACACACAGTACAGTATACAGCAACAGATATGTTTCACCAGCTAAAAACTGTTGTCTCTCACTAGAGGGGTACTATGAGGGGGTCTGTATGGCCTGCTATGTTATTTATATATACGTACTGTAATATATTTTATGTAATACCTGCAAATTAGCCTATGGCAAACACCCAACCCTAATGCTGATGGTAAATCCTGCAGAGGGCAGTGTTGAGCCTGTCTACAAGTACATGTTTAGGGCCCAGTGAAGGGAAGTGCCTCAACACATTAGATATAATAACCAGGAACTTGAACAAGGTCATCAGTACGAGATGTATACACTACTGATCTGTGACAAGTGTACAGTATTATCTAGCATCACAAGCCTAACTTTTGGCTTACACATCAAACAAGTGTAAGTCATTTTCATCCTTTCTGGATCTTTGAAAACTTTATAAACACGTTACTGACAGTTTCCCTGATTATACAGCGCAGTACAGTAGTTATCACGATACAAATAATGACTGATGAGAACTTGTATGTACCCAACCTTGACTTCTCCTCCACTACAATAATCACGACCATTCTTATGTTTCTATTATGTCATTCCAATATTTACAAATAATTGGCCAAGTGTATAATGTCACCTAAACAGCTAAGTTCCTATACATCCCTAAATAAAGTGTCGAGAGACCAAACTGTGTTCACATTCTGTAACACAAACCAGAGACTCCAGTTAGTACAGTCAAAGATGTAATTAGTGCTACGAGGCTACTTACTGGTAGTATGGCGGACACCTTCCCCCATTGTGCGCGGGCTGACTGGCGGGTGTTCGGTGAGAAAGGAGTAGTAGCCCGAGTCCTTCTTCTCCACGCCCATGCGACCTCTTCCACTACGGCGCAACTCTACTCCACCACTGCCCATATCCACACCCATGTCCAGCCCAGGGTCAGTGTTGGCCTGTAAGAAGATAATTTAATTGGCCAGACTGAACAAAGAAGAACATTTGACAGACATGACAAACATATGCCTTGCCAAGATAGAGTAAGGTAACTAGCAGGTGCACATAAAACACCTCATGTTGCTCTAAACACTACAGTACAGTATGTCTGTCTGATTCTTCACACACATTAAATTATCATAACATCTTCTATGCACAATATGAGCCTTACTTTTTACTTTTTCTTCACCAACCTAAATAATACAACACAGACCCTATTCATATGTTTCCTCCTCTTCCTCATCTACTGTATATATTAAGAGGGAGAACAAACTTAACTAACCAACCATTTCTAACAGTAGGTTCCTTTAGTTCCAGGAATATTATGATACTGTACTATACTGGTAACACGTCTTGTATTAAGAGTTAAACTCACCTCAAACTGTGAGAAATAAGCCCCAGTGACCCCTGGGAGGCTTGCTGGTCGTGGTGTTTTGGGTGTGGTTGGCTGTGGTTGTCTCTGTGGTTGTTCACCACCAGGAAATACATCTGCAAACACTGCATCATAGGGTCCAAGTGCATCATCTTGGGTTGTAGTAGAGTGGGTGTCATCATGAAGGAAATCGGTGTCGGAGATCTCCGAGCCGAACCCGCTGGTCGAGACGCTGTCGCTCCGTGCTAATTCCCAGGGACCCAACCAAGTAGTACCTTCACGACCCACTCCCTGCTGATGCTGTTGGTGATGGGGACTCAGGCTGTGTGGCCAGGCCCTTCCAACCTCGTCATAACTGGAACATTTTCTAGTGGTAAAGTCTGGATTACGATGCTCCAGTAGACGACGAGTGTTGAGATGAGTTTCGCTGGAAGAATAACATCTGGGTAGACGCTGAGGATTGGGAGGGAGTTGTGTTCTCTCCTCCTCTACTATTATACCTGAATCACTCTGTTGTACTCCTGGGGAACTGGGTGAGTTGGGGGTGGCTGCAGGGGGCCCAGCCACAGCAGCCTCCTGAGGGCTCACTGGTAACCAGACACCACTCGTAGGTTCAGGAGCAGTACATGCTGCAGTAGCGGTGGCAGGGTGTTGCAGCTGCTTTTGGTGGCTACAAGAAACACTCAGCTCTAGCACTCTGGGACGTTCTTCCCGAGCCCCAGTTAACTGGATGGGCACTATCACCTCTCGGGGCCGTTGGGGTACTTTATCACGTTGTGGGTGGCACCTTTCAATATTTAGGATGGATTCCTCAAGTTCTCTGTGTTTCTCATCAAGAGAACTCCATTGATTATCTCTAGAGCCTTTCTTCAGTACTTGTATTGTCTTTTCTGGAATCATAATATGTTCTTCCTTTTGCTTGCCATCTTCTATCTGCACTTCAAACACTGATCTAACTTCAGGTATTGCATTACATGGCGTGGCAATTACCTGAGTTTCCCGTACAACCAGGGGTTCACTGCGGACATAGCTAACAGGTGATGCTTCCCTCTTCACATCAATTACACAAACAGATACTTGACGACTCTCTCTGTCGCTGCAACGACGTGAGAATGATGATGTAGATGAAGATGAAGGTCTGACTGTTTTCTCATCTCTTCCTTTTTCCTCTAATCTTGCCACTCCAGCCCCACAAGTTCTGCCTCCTCTTTCTTCTACTCTTGCTCTTCCTGTTTCAACAGAACTACTATCCTTTTCTTCTATTCTCACTCTTCCCGTTTCCAGAGAAGCATTTCCTCGCTCCTCTACTTTTAATCTGTTGGTTTTGACAACACTAGTCCCTCTTTCCCCTATCTTTTCTCTCCCTGCTTCGGCAGCACCAACATTAAATGTGGCACTACTGTAATAGTTGCTGGTTGACCCGCTTGTACTCTTAATGCTATCACTAGATGTAAAGCTTTCTTTTAAGGACGTAACCTTAGCCTCACTTTTGTAGTCACTGCTAGTCCGACTAGACACCTCTTTACTTTTGTAGAAGGAGTTGAAAGCAGGAGAGGAAGGACAAGAGGACTCAGAAGCTCTTCTAAAGCTGAAAATTGGGGAACCTGTTGTATCCCTTATGACGGTTGTTTTTGGAGATGATGGAGGTAGACTTGAGATTGGTGTTACCGGAGATGAACATTTGGGTGTAATAGGTAGACCATCATCACGAAGCTCATCTAAGGCAGAAGCAAAGCTGAGACGAGCAAGTGCAGTGGAGGGGGACATGTCTGGTGTGTGGGGCGTAGAGGATGGAGACGCTGGTACGGCCTCCAGTGTTGATCGCAGGTTAAGACTGAGAGATTTAGGCATATTAGTCTGTCCCCCGGCACAGGCGTGTCTCTCGAGGAAACTGGACGCATAAGCCGTCGATGATGAAGAAACTGATGTGGAGGAGTGATGAGACTCATGACTGCGGTACAAGATCGGGGCGGAGGAAGGATCTCTTGGGCCCGTGTCTCGCCTTAATTGTCGATCTAACTCTGCTAACTGACCTACAAAGTTAATATTTGGGGAGATGGTTGGTCTTCTTGTTTTTACATACCTGCAAAAAAAGAAAAAAGAAAAGAAGATATTACATCAACTATACAATTTACCATAGAGTCATATTAGCCGTGAAAAAACTATAGCAAATCTTTATCACATTCAGAGTACGTATATATAATCTATTAATGTTTAATACATACATGTACGCCTCATCAAAGGGAAGTGAGAGATGCTTCATAACATAAGCAATTGCAACAGTAGCAGATCGGGAGATGCCTGCCAGACAGTGCACCAACACACATCCACTGGACTCACGAACCTTATCTGTGTCAGAGACCATCCAATCAACATCATCAAATTAAATATAATACAGTACTTGTATATGATCAAGTGTGACCAGAAAGACAACTGATGGGAGAAGTAACTATAAACAAACTGGTTCCTTCATAACAAGTAAGGGAAATTGATCTTATTTGACAGTACATGAAATCTATCAATAAATAAAAGTTCTGTATTTTGAACATTATTACTGGTGTCTAGGAACGATTCTACATGTTGACAATGAATACAAATAATGGCACCTATGACAGGAGAGAGAGAGAGAGATTTCAAACAAATTTTATGAATGTTTACTCACCAATAAAATTGAAGGCATCATTAAAATATGGGAGGAGTTTCTCACTGAAGTTATCGTTTACGGGGATTCTCATGAAGTAGGAGTCTTGAACAAAGTCTGGCTTGGGACACGACACACTGACGTTCAGTTCGTATAATATGTTGTAATCCTGGAAAATAATGACTTACATCACAATCTATTTTAATGCTTGGGTAAGGATTTTTTTTCATTATTTTATTTTTCATTTACATTTATACTTCTTTATTTTATTTTTCATTTACAATTTCACTTCATTACAGTATTTTCTTTTTAATTTACATTTACACAACTTCCATCATAAACTTTAAGAATTATCATCAATAAAGGTAATATTCCTATACAGGTACATAATTTGCAAAGCCTTCAGCTGTGACCTTGAATTTTAACATGGTCCTGAAATTAGGATTACGCATTTTGTGAAGTAAGGATAAATATTCACCTAAAATGAATTTTTTCCTCCCAAACCTAATCAACGGTGAACTATGATCTGTTAAGCTTTAATACACCAGGAAGTTTGCAGTTATTTAACAAGTTCTACACCCAGTGCTACATAGTGTGCCCCGCCTCTCCTGACCGGCCCACAGTGGTTCATGTGGGGTTCATCTCCCAAGAAAGACATCAAAGGTGCTAATTATACACCCCACCCCACCCCACCCCAACCCCCCCACCCCCTGTCCCCGTCCCACGCTCAGCCTTAATTCACCTACAACACTCTGCCAAGACACCATACCAGTGATTCATGTATAACTTCATAAATGGCCCTTTTTCCCAGCTTAACTTCGTACAGTGTCTTTTTTTATTTACCATTTACCTTTGTCCATTTGCTTGTCCTTGGGAAATAATTATTGCAACAGTTTTAAAGGATGGAATAATTGTCCTCATATTCTCGACATTTTGTGACATTACTAGACACATCCTGAGTTTATGTCGAGCTTCACACGAATTAAGCTGTAAATAATATCATCAGCTGACTTGAAGCACGTAAAACTAGTAGCGAGGAAAGCCGCCCACACCTACAGGGGTATCTGTTGCCACGTCTTCTAAAAATGAATCAGGTTACATAATTCCCTTGCAGTTTGCACCCTGCCAGCTGCAGTGAAAGGGTCAATGTACTGTACTAAAGGTATATATATTCCCCACAAAGGTTACTAACACAAGGTAAACTGAATCCCTATGTAATGTACTCCAACCACACCATGTTATGATTACCAAATATCTGTGTCTGATGTTATGTTGGTGTGATGTAATATTTATGGGGGCTTATTACAAATATGGACTGTGTTAAATTTTTTTGAAAAATTTGTCACTAGTAGTTTTTTATGTTGACTCTAAGTATACAACTCATTTTTTGCAGAAATAAATATTTAACATTTTATTGGCGTTTGTTTGCAGGAACAGTGTCTGTTTTTGCTGTTGAATGAAAATGAGTGATAACCTACAATCACTGTTTTCGTTAAGTGAAACTGATGCTTTGTACAAAATACAAAGTGTGGGGATTGCGCCCAAAGAGAAGCAATGCCGAAAATGCCATGATAGGCAAATAAATTATATTGACGGAAGATTCAATTGGTGCTGTCAGAAAGGAGGGTGTAATGAAAAGGTCTCAAAAAGAAAAAGCACATGGCTGAATAGAATAAATCTTGATCTGGCAAGAATTATGGATAACTGCTGGACAAAAGAATACACATGGCTAAAATTTTGAGAGGATGAATTGGGCATGAGACACCCAACCGCTATCGACTTCTGCAGCTACATGCGAGAAGTAGTTTGTTATTGTTACCTACCTAACTTGACCTAACCTTAACCTATACAAATCAGTGTGCGAGGTTATGTGGCACCGGTGTCACAAAGGCCAAAATTTGTATGAACTTAAGTTAAGTATGATTGGCCAACACTTGTGATAAATAGACCTGTAAGTCACAAATAAAACATTTCCGCAAAACATGAGTTTCACATATAAAATCAGCACGAAAAACTGTATATTTAATGTTTCAAAAATTTGGAAGTCAAAATTTTTAATAAGACCCAGTAATCGTCTGTGCAGTAATAAACAGTATTCTGTATACTGTATAATCTTTCTGGAGTTTATGGAACCTATATAATACTGGTTGCTGCAATTCGCAATTTGGTAATACTGTATTGCAGTAAACAGCAACTACAAAATTCCGGAAATTCACGACACTGAATCTAGGACTATTTTTTTATGATCATTTTCTTATATTACATTAAGCTCGGTGAAGGACAAAATTTTTTTCAGATTCTTTGGTTGCTGTAATCGGCAATTTTATCATATTTTCTAACGTTGTATATGCTTGAGATTATGTTTACATGTGTAATGATAAATAAGTCTATTTTTAAGTTAATCAGCCAACCAGTGCTATCATTCGTCAGTCCGTACCTGTTGTCGACTTATTGTACATGGACAACAAGGAACCAGTTTTGAGACACGGTCCTTGAAGCGATCTAACAAAAGACAAATCCCACTACCAAAATAGAGTGACAGTTTAAGGAGTGTTTAAATGGCTGCTGTCTTTCAAGGTCAGTTATCATCACCAGACATCAAGCCAAAACAACCATAAAAACGATGACGACCATGATGCCAATATCAAGGATCATTTCCTGTGTGTATCTCAACCCCCTCACAACGTCTTGTTATATCTCTATGTTGCTAAGTTATTCCTTTGATACTTAAGTTGGTTATAAACTCTGCAAACATCAAAGGGGAAAAAAAATTACTCCGGCTCGCATATTCTCAGTGTCCAATATTTTCTGTTGCTTTTCAGTTATCCGCCTCATTTTCACGCAGTTTCATTTATCTTCTCTTCTATATTGCTTGTACTGTAAGCTATGGCTACATTAAAGTGTCAAATACACAGACGACCGGTATCACTGACGGAACAACAGGGTCTGATTCCTAACCAGGCTATAGGTCACGGTGTAGTCTACTTGATGTCAATGGGGATCAATTTATGGCTCCGTTACCATGCCGACGCAAAGAAAAAGAAAAAACTTGACTGTTACTAGTAGGTGGGCAATGATAAAACCTAAGATATGAAAAGAATCCTTGGTGAAGTTGTTGAGGATAAGTCAAGTCTAGCACAACATAACAGTTATTAGGTAAAGTTGGTTTTAGTGGGTCATAGTGAGGTCAGATTGAATTTTGGTGTACATCCTTTGAGACTGACTACCCTTACCTTCAAACATACTGCCCCACCTTCTTTAACCTCCCTTACACCTTCAAGAGGGCGCCCCACTTTGGTAACTACAGTATACACCTGACTGAACGACCGGTCAGTACTAAACGTTCACAAGAAACATTTGATTGTGATGAAAGATGAAAAAAAAGAAAAGAAATTCAACTCCGAAACTAAAAGCGTTTTTGCCATGTAATATAAAACAATATGTATAATTTTCTGGTTATGTTCACTAAACGTCTGAAAAGTGGAGCTCCTGGTGATATACTGTAGTGAGCGGGTTCTGTTGGATGATGTGTAGGTGAGCCGTAACGGTGAAGGCGCCCCCGTGTGCTGATGTAAGCCATGGTGGGTTATACGACACAAACACACACACACCTAACCTTATCCTCCATTATAATCCAATTTTATTTATCTTAACTTAACCCGACCCAACCGACCTACTCAAAAGTTACGAAGGCTGAGCTAAGCATACCTAGTTGCATTGCATCTAGCCTAACCAAACTTAGCCTAAGGTAACCAAGTCTAACATGGTATAAGGGTTTTAAAACTAATTCTGTTGAAAATTTGTCCAGTTTATTATTCTGATGGTGGGATTTTGTCCAGTAATGCAATGTTTGGTAAGATTTTGTCCAGGATTCGAACAAGGGGAATGTGAATTTGATGTGTTGTCAATCTTACTATATTGATGGTGCTATTTTTCTGCTGAAAGATTTTTTCTCCCACAGGAATAATGCAAATGGTTTTAATCTGTGTTGAAACGTGGGAGGTAGTGACGTCCGCCAGCACCACCACCACTTGTTTATGAGCTTCCCACACTGTCGTACCGCACACATCATCCCCGGCACCAACAGCATCTATACTTGTCTACAGTATATTGGTACCTAAGAATATTACCTTCTAGCGACTGTATAAAGTTTAATACTAATTTCTATTTTTTTTCTCCAATATATAAATCGCTTAATTTTATTTTAATTGGAAAACCTCATTTTATCATTTTCATAATTACAAGAAAAATACGAGAATATAGAGGGAATAGGGAATGGTTAGACGATGTATAATCAATGAAATTAGGAATTGAAATAGATTGTGGAAGGTGGATAAGGAAATGAGGAATAGAAATGCGGGAGATGACTGACAAAAACAAACTTCTTGGTGCGTGAGAATGAAGCTTATGGTAGGAGCCTCCGTGCCCCTTACAATTCCTTCCTCCTACACACTAACTCCCAGTCTTCCACCTTGCTGGAGTAGTTCATGTGTTTGCGCGGGAAATATGTGGTTGGAAGCCTCCCCTCCCCCCCGTGCGCCAAAATTAGCGCGCCAAATCAACACAGTTCCACCGGTATTAAACACGTCAGCGCGAGAACTAAACGGGACACACACACACAGAGGCCAACCGCAAGCTCCGAAAATATTAGTAATGGTTGAGTTGAGAGGAGCTGTCAGGGGGCTCGGACGGGGGCAGAGAAAAACACATTAAATGTTACATGACGACGGTAGTGGTGGTGGGTGTGTGAGGGCGCCAAGGTGAAGCGTTTATACGAGGAGCTACCGTCACGCTGCTCTGTATAGCCCCCACGCTTCTCCCTGCTCCAATATTAGCTCCAGCAATCAGCTTTATCCTACCAGCTATTGTAACATCCCACAGTTATATGAACCCATGCACTATAATATTACACATACATAATTTCAAACCAGACTTACTTACGTGTACGGTGTAGGTTAAGTTAGGTTAGGTTGATGATGCCCCACACAGCAGACAACACCAAGTAAACAAACCCCAGCTAATGACCTTGGATAAATCTGGATGATTTTCGCTGGGACTCTGCATTAATCCAAATCTGACTTATCCTATTTTAACCTTAACCTTAACCTACTTTAAGCTATCTTTTTAACCTAACCTGTCGTTATCATTACCTGTGTTATTCTGCTATGACTTAACTTTACAACTTCACAACATACACCTGACCTTCGCTCACGTATCTAAACCTGATGCAGTTCAACTCAACGGAACATTATAATCGGGGGGGGGGGGGCAATGGACAAGTTCTTTTACTGTAACTTTGGTCCAATGAAAAGTTGTCTGCGGGTGTTTTCGTCCAATGAAAAGTCTCGTTGAATGTTTTGTCCAATGATAACTATGTTGGATTTTTTCTGTGCAATGAGAAATTATCTACTGTTTTTTCCAAAGTTTTGTCCAATGTGAAGTTGTCTGAGTGAGGGGGGGGAGGGGTTTTGTCCAGAGACATGAGTCATGATGGCGGGACAGGTGTGGTCGGGGTGACTCACCTCTCCACCCACCTGCACCTGTGGCCCCGATCATGAGCACACCTGTACACCTACGCCGTCAACCCCTACTACTACTACTACTACTACTACTATACATGTGCCGCCACCCCGCCCCCCACTCCTACACCTGTGCTGCCACCTCCACTCCTCAAAGGGTTAAACCATCGTCCTTAAATAAATGTTCTAAAAGGATTAAATCATCATCAAGGGGGTAAATAATCCGCATTCTCCTGAAAAGGGTTAAATAATAATTCTCGAAGGGTTAAACCATCGTCCTCAAAGGGTTAAATCAATATTCTAAAAGGGTTAAATCATCATCAAGAGCTAAACCATAGTCTTCAAGGGGTTAAATCATCCTCATCCTCCTCAAAAGGGTCAAACCATCGTTCCACAAAAGGGATGAGAGGAACAGTACTCACAGACAGAAGCTGCTTGTTGTTGGCGTCGTGCTGTGAGCCGAGGTAGAGGAAGGGTAGTATACGGGTGGGGCCCACATTGGACACGGAGAGGCAAGGCTGCGACTGTGTGGTGAGCGGGGTACACTTGTTGCTGGAGTCCTCGCACAGCTCCGGGAACCGTGCCTGAAACTCCAAGAAACCCCCTGTGTCACCCCAGGAGGTCACGGGGTCAGAGGTCAGCATGGTGCAAGGTCAGGAGTTTAATATATATGTGTATATGTATAAACTGGAACATAAATGGACGACATATTTCAGTAAGCCGGTGACGTCACCTTAACTGATCCAAGGTACCCCAGGTTACTGAACACACCACTCCAGGTCACAGGTTACTCAACAGGTCACCTTAGGTCCCTCAACAGGTAACAGGTCATGCAAAATATCAAAGGTGACTCACCGGCCAGGAGGTAGACGCAGGGGAAGGCTCGCCCCAGCTTGTTGAGGAGGACGTGAAGGAAGGAGTCTTGAGGGATGGAGGTGAGGCTGATGGCATTTTGGTCGTATACGATGATGTCCAGCCCCTCGTGTAGTTCCCCCACCTGGCACGCCTGCTGCAGGTAGTCGTGCACCGAGATCTATGGGGAGGAGGGGAGGGTAAAGTCGTGGCCGTGAGAGTTGTGTACATGGAGCTGTTATGGGTATATAGAACTGCCAGAGAGAGAGAGAGAGAGAGAGAGAGAGAGAGAGAGAGAGGTCCATTACACCTTGTTGATAACACCATTTGCATGTCTGAGACAGAGAGGACGCGGTGAGGGTAACTCTTGTGTAGATAATGATGAAGTACCTCCCCATGTTTTGGTGTATGACTTCAAGGGACTGTAATTATAAACATCAACGGACTTTGTAAACATCCCGTCTGTGTGTGTGTGTGTGTGTGTCAACGTGGTAAATACTCTCCTCCGAGCATTACTGTAACCTACGTCGATAAAAATAATAAACAGGAGCCTGACACACCGCCATCAATCTCTCAACACAACGGGCGGTGGTGTAACTGCTGAGTGTGTTGGTGGTACACTACAGGGCCACACTCCTCTCCTCTTCCTGTGATAAATCTGACATCGTATTCGGTATCTCAGTGTTAGTGGTTATTTCGTTGAGAACCGAACCCCTTTCTGATAAGTCTAGCATCATGTGGTCAGCCTGCCTCGGGTGTGTGTGACTCCGCCCTACACAACTCCCGGGTTTACAGCGCCGCCAGTGTAAACACAAGTCTCCACGCCGGCCACCGACGATAAAATCTTCTAAAAGGAATTTGATAAATGTTTTATATATTAGGAACTTTATTTACCCTTCCATGATAAAAGGTTCTTGGGGTTATTTCTAGACGTGGTTGATAACTTGAGACACTTCTGAGAAAATGTTTGAAGGGAATAAGGAAAGAAAGTTTTTATATTTGGAACATGGTGGAGCGCAGGAGTATTTCAAGTGTTTTATATACCACAGCAATATGGAAACATAATCTACCGCACACTATGGCGTCATATTCTAGTACACACTATGGCGTCATATGACAGTACTCACCGAGTCCTGTTGGAGTCTCTTCTTCCTGATCTTGGAGGACCAGACGTTAATAGAGTTGAGGATGTGGGAGGTATTGAACTCACAAAACGTCCGGCTGTCGATGATGAGCGCCTGGCCGACCAAACACACCAAAAGTTGATGATCAGATATCCAGTTGTTGGTTAATTTCTTATTCTAACAAATTGTCCCAACCAATCTTCAAATAATATAGTCTAGTTTATTCTAAGCCATTACTGAACTAAATCTAATGTAATTTTAACATTAGCCTCTGTTACAATGTATTCATGTTGACCCAGATACCCCGATCTTCTTAAAGGAGGGAAAAGAAGCTTTTTTCGAATAATTTCTTTCAGATGTACGTCGGTTTTATGAGGGACCATTAAGAGAGTGAGTAACAGCTGACCTTGTCGCTCCTGACCAACAGGGAGAGTTTGTGTGGCGTCACAACTTTAATGGCCTCCATGACGGTCCCTCTGCTGCCCCCTGCTGCTGTTGTGTCCCGGCGTCGTCAGCTGCCCCCACCCGCACACTGCCTGCTGTCCGGCACCACCTGTAGGAGGAATCACTGTTTTACACAACACTGCATAACGTCACAACTGAAATTCAGACGTCAAACTTTACTACACACACACACACACACACACACACACATACTGTACATACATACATACATCCATACATAGAACTTCCTCGTTACTTGTAAAATTATGATCATTTTGGCTACAGCACTGGACAACAGCTCGTGTAGTTACGGAGACGGCGTGGCGGCAGGTGAGGGTGGTGGGTTAAGTCTACGGTCTTGACACACCATGTTTCACTACCACAGCTCTCGGGGTCCTTCCAGTACCACCACCTCTACTACACCACCGCAACACTCACCAACACCACTACACCACCGCAACACTCACCAACACCACCACTACACCACCACAACACTCTGCCCACTACACCACCTGCTTACTCCTGCATCACCACTACACCACACAGCCTCCTGTACCACACTATACCACCACAACACTCCTCCCATCACCACTACACCACCGCAACACTCCTGCATCACCAGCTCTACCACCGCAGCACTCACCAACACCTCACACACACAACACTCCTACTTACCACCACCACCTCCCACCATCACCACTACACCACCACCAACACTCACCTCCACCACTACACCACCCTGCTTACTCTGCCTACACCACCTGCTCCTGTCCCCTACACCACCACCAACACTCACCACATCACCACTACACCACCACAACCTCACCATCACCACTACTACCGCAACACTCACCAACACCACTACACCACCACCAACACTCCTGCTTACCACTACACCACCACTGTACTCCTGCCCTATATCTGCCTACAACACTACACACCACACAACCTCTTACCATCTACCACAGCACTGGCACTCACTGCATCACCCTACACACCGCAGCACTCACCAACACCACACTACACCACCGCAACACTCCTGCTTGCACACACCACAACCATCACTACTACACCTGCTCACCAACACCACTACACCACCGCAACACTCACCAACACTACTCTCAACACAACTGCACCAACACTACACACCTGCTCACCAACACCACTACACCTGTACTCTGCCCTTTCTACACCACCAGCACTCATACATCACCTGGCCACAACACAACACCTACCACCAACACAACACAACACCTACCACCAACACAACACAACACCTACCACCAACACAACACAACACCTACCACCAACACAACACAACACCTACCACCAACACAACACAACACCTACCACCAACACTACTCCAACACAACACCTACCACCAACACTACTCCAACACAACACAACACAACACAACACTCAGGCCGGCAAGGATCACACACTGCACAACATATTATTTTTATTATATTATGTTAGACGTTTTAGTGAAATTTTGTAGCGTTTGAGAATATAATTTTTCGTCATTTATATAAAACTTAATTAAACAGTCGACTGTTTGGTTCCGTCCGCATATGTGGTGTACGTATATACTTTAAGCTGTGTAGGTGTATACTTTAAGCTGTGTAGGTGTGTACTTTAAGCTGTGTAGGTGTATACTTTAAGCTGTGTAGGTGTATACTTTAAGCTGTGTAGGTGTATACTTTAAGCTGTGTAGGTGTATACTTTAAGCTGTGTAGGTGTATACTTTAAGCTGTGTAGGTATATACTTTAAGCTGTGTAGGTATATATATATACTCGTAGTTGCAGCAACTTCTTACCTAACCACACGACAACATTTAAATTTGTACCAAACAATTTATCGACCCCCGCCTCCGAGTGAGTCATCGTGGTCGACACCCCCCCCCCCCTTAGGTCAGGGAGGTCAGCCAGTAGGATGTATGTATGTATGTATGTATGTATGTATGTATGTATGTATGGATGGATGGATGTATGTATGTATGTATGTATGTATGTATGTATGCCCCACCCTGGAGACTACGTTTTTAAGATATCAGTTATGGCACAAGACTTTACAATTGAGAAAAATATGACAGTTAAGTGCAGTGCCGACTCAACTGTCCCCATAATCCGTTTTCTATGGTGCAATATTACTGTGTGTGTGTGTGTGTGTGTGTGTGTGTCTGTGTGTGTGTGTGATGGCGGGAAGATGTGCGTGTGGTAGCAAATGTGAACAGGCCAATCCGTTAGACTTAACAAATATATTATGAACTAGAAAAATATCAATGGACTAAACTTGTAATGCCTTCAGAGACCAGTATACACGGAGGTTAGTTCTCCCTGGGGTGATCCTTTGACGCCATCATATATTATAGAGGGAGGCCAAGATGGTGTCAGACCGCCCTTGAAACTTTACCGTGACCAGATGAGGTGTTGTATTTTTTTTTGGTCTTAATTAAATCAACAATAAATACGAGTACACAAGGACTAATCGCTGGTTGTGTTTTGTACCACTTGAAAAAACACAACAAAACACAAATCAGATGGTGAAGGACAAACGAGGATTAAGCTGACTACAACGTAAAAAAAAACCAAAATAAAAAACCGTGGAGATCTTTTAAAGAGACCCAGAGAGAGACAGAGAGAGACAGAGAGAGACAGAGAACTAAACACTCGCTTCTTGACAACGGCGAGACAATTCTTTAAACCTACCTGTCATTGTTTACCTCTGACTTATCCAATATGGCGTCGATATTCCACTATGACTATAAACACGTCCGTTACACTCCAGTTAAGAGAGAAGAAAAAACTAACGTACATTCTGGGACACCATCTAGTAACTAACAACAGCCGAGTATAGTTCATAATATACACCAACGTCTGGGGGCATCTGTCTGTCTGTCAAGGAATTAGTGAAACATTTGAATGGCCGCAGACGATTATTTAGATAAGCACAATACATATAATTAAATACCGGTAGTTTTATACATGACCTAACCTAACCCAATTTTTTATACGAGTTAATTGCTTAAAGTTCCTTGCCTCCACACACACATACACGCACCACACACACACACATACACACACACACACACACACACACACACACACACACACACACACACATTTATGAAAAACAACAATAAACAACAACGACAATATTTTCATGACGCCGCAAAAACACCAGACAGACAGACAGACAGACACACCGAGAACCAGAAGACAGACAACATCTAGGACCAGCAGACAGACAGACGCAGACACAGTGAACCAACAGACAGACAGACAGAAAAGGGCATAGAAAATCAGCCAAGAGAGAAAGGGAAGGAGGAAGGGCGGCGTCTACCAGAGCGTGTGGTAGATAAGTAGACGCGGTGGTAGACGGGATCGATGATGGCCCCACACCCCCCTCCCCCCTGTGAGTCACTGTATGAGTCACCGTCTACATGTTGGCCCCTCGTGCTACACCCTGGGGTAGACGGTAGACAGGACAGTCAAGGCTCTGGGTAGTTGTAAAGGGAGATAGTATAAACTTATATTTAGATAGATAAAGACTGAGACAAAAAATAAACAGATACTGATATACAAATACACACAAAAGCTTTAACTAAACTAAATAAGTAAGTAAAACCTTTAAAACACTTATAACTACTAATTAAAATTAAGGAAGTGTAAACAAAGATGGTCAATAACGTGATGGCCACCTGTGACCAATCAACGACCTCGAAACTGACCTGGCGGTGACCCCTTGGTTAAAATTCCAGAGGATCGTGGCAGCCGCATGTTACGCTGCATGTGATTGACCGAGACAGCTTACAAACAAAAGCCTGTTATTCAAAACCTCATAGGAACATAAAAGCCGTGTACTTTAAGCTTCATTATGGTGACTAAAAGCGAATTGTAGGGCCCGTCAGCATCCACGTAACAAAACCCTATAACTTCACCAAGACCGAATGGCTGACAACGATATAAACACCACAAGAACCAGATACTATTTTGTTTCAGGAAGAGATAAAGTTTCTTGCCGTAAACCCTGTGTGTGAATATTTAACAAAAGACCGACATAAACATCTAGTGGAAATAATAATATCCGCCGGGTGTTGAAGTAGTTCCCGCGTGCAGTCTCACAGTCTACCCGGATCTGTTGAAGAGATAAAACACTTAGTAGAGTGAATATGTATGTATGTATGTATGTATCCGACATAGGGTGTGAGGAGACATAAGCCTCACACGACATAAACGTATATCACCTGTTAACACGAGACAACAGAGCTACCATGGTACTATTATGGTACTACTGTGGTGCTACTGTAGTACTATTATGTTACTACTATTATAAATATAAATTCCAGAAGCACTTTGAATAATAATCTACAGAACTCGGCCTCACCGCAGTCATTAACCCTGGTGCTAGTGTGAGTTTATTACAGAAGCCGAGTACTCTCTCTCTCTCTCTCTCTAACACATTGTCGTTCTATCTCTAATGTAAGACGTTTGGCCCAGGGTGGTTAATGTCCTTATCTAACCTAACCTAACCTAACCGTGGTCCAAACATCCGCTCATTATAGCCACCCGGGCGGGATGAACACACGCTATTTGGGGGCTAGTTGTGCTGTAATAAGCTATGCACTAGTACTTAAGACAATACATCCTTCACTGATCTGTTGGGATTAATTTAGACTCTATGTGTACAAGGTATCTCTGAAGGTAGTGTGTGTGTATTTTTCTGAGGTAAAGTATACATGTGTGTGTGTGTTGCGGGTCATGTATACTCCGTCATCACAGCGTTATCACATCTCCAATTAGACGGTAGAGAGTGGGGG